ATAGGGAATGGGCTCCTAAAACCCATTCATTCACTAAGGATAAATACTGGTTCCACTGCCAGAGGTTCCATAGACTGCCCTGGCCTCCAACTGATATCCATGTTCAGGGGGCCTGGTTCAGATCTATGCTGGTTCCCCAGCTGTCAGACTGGGGTCTGTGAGTTCCCACTTGCTCAAGTCAGCTGTTTCTGGGGGTTTCCCCAGCATGGTCTTGAACCCTTTGCTCATCTCTCCTCCCTCTCTACAACTGGATCCCAGGAGTTCAGTTCAGTGTTTATCGGTGGGTGTCTTGCCTCTGCTTCCATCAGCCACTGGATGAAGGCTCTAGGATGGTATTTAAGGTAGCCATCAATCTCATTGTTGGGAAGGACATTATTGCTTATTGTTACTAGGGGTAATCCTTGCATATCTCTGGACATTTCCCTAGTGCCAGATTTCTCTTTACACCTATAATGGCTCCCTCTATTCAGGTGTCTCTTTTCTTGCTCTCCTCTATTCCCTTGCCTCCATCTTCCCTCATGTCCTCCGCCCCTTCCCTTCCTCCTACTCCCCACCCCCGCATTTGCTCAGGAGATCTTGTCTCTTTCCCCTTCTCCAGGCGTTGATGTAGGTCTCTCTTAGGGTTCTCCTTGCTTCCTAGCTTCTCTGGGGTTGTGAATTGTAGGCTGTTTATCCTTTGCTCTACGTCTAATATCCACTTGTGAGTACATACCATGTTTTTCTTTCTGGGCTACCTCACTCAGGATGGTTTCTTCTAGTTCCATTCACTTGCCTGTGAATTTCAAGATTCCATTGTTTTGTTTTTCCAATGAGTAGTACTCCACGTTTTCTTTATCCATTCTCCGGTTGAGGGGCATCTAGGCTGCTTCCAGGTTCTGGCTATTACAAACAGCTGCTATGAACACAGTCGCACAGACGTCCTTGTTGTATGAATGTGCATCCTTTGGGTATATGTCTAAGAGTGAAATGGCTGGGTCTTGAGGTAGACTCATTGCCATTTTTCTGAGAAACTGCCATATTGGTTTCCAAAGTGGCTGTACAAGTTTGCAGTCCCACCAGCAGTGGAGGAGTGTTCCCCTTTCTCCACATCCTCACCAGCATAAACTATTATTGGTGTCTTTGATTTTAGTCATTCTTACAGGTGTAAGATGGTGTCTCAGAGTTGTTTTGATTTGCATTTCCCTAGCAGCTAAAAATGCTGAACAATTTAAGTGCCTTTCAGGCATTTTAGATTCCTCTATTGAGAATTCTTTATTTAGTTCTGCACCCCAGTTGTAAATTGGATTATTTGGTGTTTTGGTGGCTAGCTTCTTGAGTTCTTTGTGAGTTTTGAAAATCAGCCCTCTGTCAGACGTGGGGTTGGTGAAGATCTTTTCCCATTCTGCAGACTGCCATTTTGTCTTGTTGATTGTGTCCTTTGCCTTACAGAGCTTCTCAGTTTGAGGAGGTCCCATTTATTAATTGTCTATCTCCATGTCTGTGCTACTGGTGTTACATTCAGGAAGCGGTCTCCTGTACCAATTAATTTAAGGGTGCCTCCCACTTTCTCTCCTAAGAGGTTCAGTGTAACTGGATTTATGTTGAGGTCTTTGATCCATTTGGACTTAAGTTTTGTGCATGGCGATAGACATGGATCTATCTGCCATCTTCTACAAGCCAGCATCCAGTTATGCCAGCACCATAGTTTTACAGAACCTCAGTTGTGCCCACTTGTTTATGCATGGTGTGCAGCTGCTTCAGTGATACTCTGCAGTCACTGCAGGCACCACGTCTGAAAAGCCTGAAGCTTTGTGTGCGAGGTGGGGCACAGTCTCACTATGCAGGCTAGGCTTGTTTAGAACTTGCAGCGATCCTCGATGCCTGAGCCTTATGGGTGCTGGGGTCAGAAATGTGTGCCATCAGGCTCAGTCTAAGCCCAGATTATTTACTGTGACCCTTTACAGGAAGAGCTTGCCCACCCCAGGGCTGGCCATCTGAGCTGTAGGATGCAAACTGCCTGCTGGCCACAAGGTGGCAGCCGTTCTCTACCACTGCTTCCATCCACAGGGCACCTAGTGCTCCAGAAGGCTGGAGGCTCCTCCCCTCAGGTGTGGGGGGAAGCTAGGCAAACGCCTGGGAGTTGGGAGTTTATGGGGCAAAAAGAACAGGGCTGGTGTGGTACAGAGTTGACTGGTTTTTTGAGTACCGAATACTGTCTTTGGTTCAAGCTTTACCTGTATTTTGTATATTCACAGAATTCTCCAGACAAGCTAAAATTGTCTGTTTCACCCAAAACTATTAGTCAAGAGAAGTGAGATTTTCATGAACCCGGCTGCCTTCTGAGGTGGTGACGTGGTCCACACGGGTCCCTGTCCAACAGTGACTCACACACAGAAGTTTGGCAGTTTTCCCCACCTTGGAAACTTCCTCCAGGTTAACTAGTACTCAGCCCGGTGTGCCAACCAAGCCCCCTACACTTGACTGTTTGTCAGGCTGGATGCCCAGAAGGATGTCATAAAAATGCTTCTGGAAGCTCCAAGCCTGAACCTTCTCCTGCCAGACGCTTTGCCTCAGGTGGGTCTCCTCCAAATGACATATAAGGAAACCCAAACTCTAGAAGTAAGTCTGCTGGGTACCTATCCATATGGCAGAAGAGCCAGGATTGTGCCTGGGCAAACCCACTCTACTTCATGCCTCATGAAAGCCTCCGAAAGCAGCATGGATCCACTCTTTCTTGTGGTTTTTGTTGTTTTTCAAGAGAGGTTCTCACTATGTAGCTCTAGCTGTTCTGGAACTCAAACTGTAGATCAGGCTGGCCCTCAAACTCACAGAGATTCACCTGCTTCTGCCTCCGGGATGCTGGATTAAAGGCGCATACCATCATCTCTTCTTGGCTTCATCCACTCTGCTTTCAAACCATGTAAACAACAAAGCAAGCTTTTGGGCATAGAGTGGACTTTCCTTTAGGGCCATGGGCACTGTGGGCGTGGCTCCTGTTCCTGTGTTTTGTGCTTTTCCTCCTTCAGGCTCCCATATGCTTGGCAGCTTTCATGGCAGGTCTGAGCTCATCTCCTGTGACATAGGCACCTGTTCCTGAAGCTGCTTTTGGGTGTCTTCAGACTGTCCTAGTTTCTTTTTTTTTTTTTTTTTTTTTTGAGATAGGGTTTCTTTGTGTAGTTTTGGAGCCTGTCCTGGAACTCGCTCTGTAGATCAGGCTGGCCTCAAACTCACAGAGATCTGCCTGCCTCTGTCTCCCAAGTGCTGGGACTAAAGGTGTGTGCCTCCACTGCCCGGTGACTGCCCTAGCATCTAACCACTTTCCTGGATTAAAAACTTGTTTCTGAATAGCTGTCATGGAAAGGCATGTGGATGGTGCGCTAGGATGTTACCATAGCTGGACTCCACTCTTCCCGTGACATGTGGGTAACTTTGGACTAACTTGCCAATCCCAAGGTCGTTCTAGGCTTCCCTCTGTAAGGACTCAGATATGTATATATGAATGACGATGAAACACCTGTGCCATCATGTACATATGGAGGCTTGAGAACAACTTTTGGGAGCTGGTTCTTTTCTAACCACCCTTAGTTCTGGGAATTGAACGTAGATCACTATGCTTGTACAGCAAGTGCTTTTATCTGCTGATCAATCTTGCTGGCCATGGCCAGCCAAATTTTCAAGCATTTAACCAACAGATATTAAGATACTATGCTCATGGCATTGAGATAGACAGATGTGGCCTTTGTGCCCAGAGCCTGGCCAAGGAGTGTTATCTGGAAGCAGCGCCTTCCCTGCGCCACAGCTGGGCAAGCAAAACCATTGAGAAGAGTGGTGGGAAGTCTGAGGCTAACCCTGTGAGGTTTGGGTCTGCCTCTCCATGACTCAGCCTATGAACACTTGCTGGTCTGCACCCGCCACCTCTTGCTTCTCTCTAATGTGCATTCTTCTTACCTTGCTCAAGTTCCACTCACTGAGCCTAGGCTGCCACCCTGAAGCAAATCTTGTGCCTTTGGGAAAGCAGGACAGATGGTTCGGGGCAGCCACTGGGCTCTGAGGAGAAGACGGCATGCGTGGGGAAGTGCCGGGCGAGAAACGGCAGCCTTGGCACAGGTAGGGCTCATTAGCTGCAGACCGGGGCTGTGTGATGTTTCCTCAGACTGTCCGCCTCACTTGAGTCTGGAGGGTCTTTTGCTTTTTGGAGGGGACCACTCCTGGGCACACACAGGTATGTCCCATGGTGCTTACCATGGCTGGGACTGAAGAAAGGGGAACAGATTGGGAGGAAATGTGACAGAGCTGACTGAAAGGCAGATGTGTGCACACAAACACACCTGTCCTGGGGAGAATAAGGCAGTGAAGTGCTAAACAGGGTAACTAGGACAAAGGTGGAAGATGCCGCCGAGTGGAAAATCTCAGGCAAGTCAGCAACCTCAGAGCCAAAGCTCTACGCCAAAGCCACACAAGGTAAAGCTGGGTGTGGTGGAGCACACCTGTAACCCCAGCATTCAGGAGAACTGAAGCGACTGCTGGAGGTCAGCCTGGGCCACATCCCAGGAGGCACAGTGCCTCCTCCGCCCCCAACAGATTTTGCAGTGTCGGGCATAGCATGTTTGTGATGTGGACTTGGGGGTGGCGGCAAGCCTGTGCCCGCATGGCAGATTCTTACTTGAGCTGGTCTTCGTAAGTTTCATGACCGAAGCATGTGGTGAGCTGCTCAGTGAGAGGAAAGTGGCAGGGCAGAGAAGAGCACTCTCCCTCTGGCTGCCTGTCCAGAGCTGACCCAGGGTAGCTTTCCCTCGCTGGGAAGAGACACGATGGCCTAAGCAGAATTGCTTAGGAGAGGTCTCTTTCCTGGTGGCAGGCGACCACTCTCCACAAGGTCATTGTTTCCCCCACTGTAGTTTAGGTATCCTGTATCCCACATCTCCAAGGTGACCAGTGCAGCAGAGATGTAACAGGCCACTTCCCATGTCGCCTGGGCCTCCCAATTTCCTCCAGAATAAGCACATGCCACACTTACAGTCTTGTATCAGGAAGCACTTACCGGAAGTGTTTAATTCTTACAAAGGCTTGGGAAGCCACAGGGGAACCTTGCCCCCTCCCGGAGCCTAACCTCAGGGAGGACACAGGGGACTCTGGGCTGAGGCCATTCCTAATTTCCCCTCTTATTCCCCATCAGCCAGGAGGCAGACACAGGCACAGGCCACCATGTGCTTCTGCAGCTTACAGCGCCCCCTCCCTGCCTCTCACCAGCTGCCTTTGCAGATGCCTGTGTCCCTCCCAGGACTAGGGGTACCCAAGGGCCTTTCAGAAAGAAAAGGGGACAAGGGCTTGGTTTAGAGGCCCTTTGCCCCTGTGTCATTGTCTGCAGTTAGACAATGTCTCCCGTGTCAATGGTCACTTTCCCTCAGCCTGCACAGTTCACTGTGTAGAGAGGTGACAGTGGGGCTGGTCATCTTGGCAGTACTACTGTGGTAATTAGGCCACAGTTGGAGAGAAACTGAGGCATTTAAGAACAGCCTGACATTTTGCAGGTGGTTCAGGCTGGTCGTTGGCTGAAATTTCACTGAGGATGACCTAGTGTACAAAGAAGGCCACCTAAATGCTCAGGGAGGAACCGGCAGGGAGGAAACACAAATGCTCTTGTCCCCTGGGCCCAGCCTCCTCCCCTGCAGCCCCATCCTCCACAGAGCTGTAAAGGAAACCATACTGAAAAGAGCAGGCATTGGGGAAGGCACTCTGCAGAGCCCCAGGGCCTTCAGGCCAGGCTTGCTACGACAGTGCAGGAGGGAAGGGGGCTCTTCACCACCACTGTCGGATCCTGCCACTAGCTGGAAGGAGGCCGAAGTATCCCCATCCCCACCCCATTCCACTCGGAGACTAGTTCAGGCGTCAGCAGGAATGGGTGTCCCTAAGGTTACAATAGCCAGTGGCCCTGCTATTCCAGCTCTATCTCTCACCTGGAGTTTCAAGGCTGGAGCAAGATTGGCTCTGAGTCCTATCTTCTTCCCCGTTTTCCCCACCAACCTCTGGGGGTACGGGGAACTAGACATCACCAGAAGTACGAGGAAAAGCCAAGTGGCTGGGGCTGCCTTGGAATCCTGTCCTAGCAAGGCAGAAGGAATGGCCTTTCTCCCACCAGAGGACCTGTAGGACAGGGCTGGCCCAGTGGAGGAGGGCTGGCATAGAGCAGAGCAGACACCAGCCAGGCTTCTTTGGTGCAACAAGGTAGTGTCCTTGTCCAGTCGTGCAGTCTGCTGGAGGCAGTGATAGCTGAGATGCTTCAGATCCTGCCAGCTAGGATTCAGGCCTTAAGACCAGGATGGAGGCTGCAGGGTAGGAGGTCTGGTTAGGGTCTGATGTGTAAACAAGTGCAGGGTGTAGGCCATGCTCTCCGCAGCACAGGACAGGATGGGTGGGCATCTGCAGATCTTGCCCACTACTACCCTGAAGCTCAGGAGATGGCACAGTTGCTGGGCTTGGTGATCCTGGAACTCCCTTTACCTGTGGAGACAGGGCACAGATGTGGAGGCTGTAAGTAACAAGCTCAGTGAGTTTGCCACAAGCCCAACCTTGAATCACCCACATAAGCAAGACTAATGTCTCTCTTCCAAGCTGCTGTCCAGGATCCAGGTCAACAGGGCGCTCAGGAAAGCAAAGGTACTTACTGTCTGTTTCAGAAGCCTCACCATATTTGGAGGATCCCCATGACTGGAGACATCAAGTGGTCTGTGTCTCCTGACCAATGATGACAGGGACTCTGGAGTCAGCAACCAGTGACTTAGAGTCCTATCACTAGCAGCTAAGTATTGTAGGCAGCTTCAAGCACTCATGAAATCAAGGGCACTCTCAGGGATCCTAACTGGAGGGCATAGGGGAAGCAACGATGAGAGCCCGAACCACTTGCCTTACTGCAGAGCTGATGCAGTAACCCTGCCCCTGGAGTGGTCAGTGACAGTGCCAGGACCTGGCCTTCCTGTCCAGTCTCAGCTCCTTCTGCCACTCAGGTGGCTGAGTTAGAGGAGGAAAGCTATGCCTGTGGAGGGCCAGCTGCCACGGTGAGCAGTGTGGTCACACTGCTGTGGACTCTGGGGTGGGGGAGGGGAGCGCGAGGCTGACCTGACTCCTCTGGCTGGGCCTGGAGGCATTGCACAGTTGAAGGCGGAGCCCGCATCCTCAGAAAGCCTGCTGGCTGCTTTTCCCAGATGGAAGCCACGGTGTTACTTCCCGCCTAGTTTCCTTTATACAGTAAAGACAATCTCCCTAGTGCTCACACCGCCGTCCACATCACTTCAGCTGTGAACTTAATTAAGGTGAAGACTGCCTCCTGTGAATTGTAGTAGCGGGAGAGGCACTGGGCAGGGCTAGACTAGAACTCTGGTGCTGCAGCCCCTTCGTGAGTCCCCATGCCTGTTGAAGGCCACACGGCCTAGGCCCACTGTCCCTGCTCTACTAGGCACTGCCTCACTCTGGCTACAACTGATTGACTCCTCAGGATTTACTGCAAAACCAGCCAAACCCCTCCTGGGTGTCCCCTGCACTCAAGCAGACAACTGCCTAGGCGGAGGTAAGACGGGAAACCTGTGGCCTCCCATGGTGGTGCTGAGGGCTGTGTCTGGTGTGGCTCTGTGAAGCTCATTAAATCTACCATGCTGGAGCCCTTGCTGCTGCAGCAAGAGGGTCTGCATGGCTCTTACTTCCTCGCCTCATGGGCCTTTTCTGTTTGCTTGGCCTGCTAAGTGGGTACCCAGTGCTTCCTCAGAGGCAGCAGCATGTTGGAGGCAGGTAAGCAAAATCAACCTCTTGGTCCAGAAGCAGGGCAGGAGTGTGCTGAGAGCACGGGAGCATCCCCGAGCCTGCGCCCTGCCAGCTCCTTCCCAGAGAAAGTGGTCTTCAGCAGGCTGTGGCCTGCCATTTGCAGGGTTGGATGCCAGCCTGGAGACATCCCTTATCATCAGGATTCATTTCTAGGGCTTTGACAGAGAAACAGGCTGGAAGGAAAATTCACTGTGTTCCACCATTCCTTCCATGTTCATTTACCAGAAAACTGCCAGGGGCAGATGCCTTGGACCCATTCAGATTAATGTGGAAGAATTATGCCAACCACCCAAACAATTTCTTTTTATAAAGCATGTGCGGCAGGGAAGTGAGTGGCCCAAAGACGACTTATGTCCTGCCAACTGCAAAGAGGACTAGCACTGCAGACTGGAACAGGAATGAGGCAGTAGGAATGTCCCATGGCATGCAGGAGAGCGGCACAATGCGGGAGGTGTGGGGCCGCAGCTAGCAGGCGAGATGCTTCAAGAGAAGGGGAGGAGAAAAAGAGAAGGGAGATGGGGGACGATATGGAAAGTCACTACAGGACTGCGGCGATAGTAAGTCCCCTCTTCCTACAGCTTATAGGGCTTCACATCTTTTTATCTGGAACATTCTTTCCCTGATGTCCATGTATCAATCTGAGGCTCTGCTCCAGTCTCCTTAATCAATGATGCCTTCTCTGGGTACCCTGGATAACAGAGTCATGATGCTTACTGACCTCTGAGTGACAGCATTTCACTCTATGTCCCCTTTAACACTTGAAAACCATTGTCCGTTTTTCGATGATCCCCTAGGACCTCCCTGTCTAGCCTAGTGACTCCCCAAGGACATAGATTTGCCTGAGTCTCCTGTAACTAACTACATTGGTGCTCGTTTGAAGACCCTTCTGCATTGGAGAGCTTTGTGGGAAACCAATGCTCTTGTTCAAAATAGAGATACCTACCTTCAGAGCTTCATGACCTGCTAATGTACCTGCTGCCATGTGTCCTATGGAGCAAACAGGAAAAGGCAGCTCTTCTTCGTTGGGTCAGGGCAGCTGTCATGCTCCAGCTCAACAGGAGTGAGTGTGTTCATGTGTTGCAGATCCTGAAATCCACTATTTTGTTACATGAGTTTCGTTGATGCTGGCATCCCTGTGTTATGCTTCTGATTTAATTTAGTGTTTAATTTTAAATTCTTGGCAGTGGGGATTGGTTAAAAGATGAAATGGATCTTCATGGCAACAGCTGTGATAAAAGCTTTGGTTTCCAAAGTGGTTTTTTTTTTGTTTTTTGTTTTTTTTTACTGTCAGCACCGCTAGCATTCCACATTTTTCTGAACGTCATCGATTCCTTAGTCTTTACCAATATGGTGAATGCCATCCAGAGAATGATACATTTAGTTGACTAAATCCTGTTTCATAGTGGTTTTTAAAAACGCAGATTTCTGAATCCAACCCAGCAGTGTAGACTCTATTCACAAGATTTTTAAAACAGGATACCCGGCTGTGCTTTCCTGAGACTGGGAAATCTCTGTTCCCAGAGAGCCTGCCCAGAGATCCTGTACGGGTGCCAGGAAGTGGCCAGGAAGGCAGGAGCTCATAACCCGGTGAGGGGTGAGGACATGGTTTAGTTAGTGGAAAAGCAAACAGCAAAGGACACCCAGCTTCAGCCACTAGAGGGCGCTCTGGGTCTTCAAACTGCCATGCTGAAGCCATTGTGGAACCCCTCCCCCCACCCCCCAGCCCCAAAGGAGGAGATTCTGTGAGATTCTCCCCAGGGCCACACCTGGGTTTGCAAAAATTTGCATGCTGTTTGACAACTATATACTTCTTATCAAGTCATTTTACAGGCTGTCAGCTTTCCTATCTTTCTCTCACCCACCCTGTCATCCACCCACGTTCTCTCTGACAAGAGGGTACAGAGACAGATAGGACAGTCAGCACCAACTAACAGGGACCTCAGAAGCCCTCCCCAGTTTACCCCTTCTCTAGAAGAGGAGACAGCCCTGGAGAGGGAAGGCAATGTGTCAAGAGCTAAGATCACACGGCCACTATCTGGCAGCTTGCATGCTCCCTGTGGGAAGAGGACTCCTTCCCTGGGTGGGTTCCTTCTCTGAGGAAGCAGCTCACATGGTTGCAATCCAGCTCAAGCTCCAGGTGTCCCAGGATGGCGGCCATGCTACGTTTTTAGGTGTGTAGTCAGCTACTCAGCGGCTGCCACCTTGAGGGAAGACGCCAGAGGTTCCTGAGCCTAGGGCTTGGGAGGTATAGGAAGAGCCTTTGGGAGGGGAAACACAGCTTCTCAACTCTGCCTTTGAGTAAGAAAGAAGCAGGGTCTCAGTAGAGAGCTAGATATCGGCCTTGGTAGGGTGGAAGAGCGTGTGTGTGTGTGTGTGTGTGTGTGTGTGTGTGTGTGTGTGTGTGTGTGTGTGTGTTGCTACCTCTATGTTCTTCCCCAGGCTGGAGGCGGGGACAACACACTTCAGACTTTCCCATGGATTAGCCACTCTTACCCAGCCCTTCTTCTGGTCTGCTTAGGGGGCTGCGTGCTCCGGAGCAAGAGCTCCCAAAGGCACAATGGGACCTGCTAGTTGGCTTGGAGACAGGCAGGGATAGCAAACACTAACTGCCCAGTCATCTAAGCAGGGGAATCTGACACCAGAGGCAGCAGGAAGGGACAAGACAATGGGCTTTGTGTTTCTATGGAAACAGCACCTAAAGGTGAGGGGCATGAGAAGAGAGAAGGCTTCTACCTCACTTCCAGTCAGGAGTTGGGAAACAGCCCTGTTGTGGTTGGGCTCGCCCCCTCCTCTTCCTTGCCAGGTGTTCACCATGGCAACCTTCCTTCCAAACAAGAGGCACAGAGAGCATCAGCATCTGGTGCTGGGAGCCAGGGAAGCCTAAGGGGAATGGAGATGGGGAAACAGCCACTCTTCTCTTCTTGTAGGACAAGGTCCAGGCCTGGCTTTGACCCATGTTTACAGTCACTTTCCATGACCTGCACTTAACGCACTTCTCCCAGAGTTCACCTGCATCTGGACTCACGTGGGCATCGATGATGAGGTGTGTGGAACCTGGCCTGTCAGCTGCTCAAGCAGTGTGGGCCCACCGGAGGCAGCGGGGGCTCGGGGTGGGGGGTGGCCCTAGTGCTCATACTGCGCCACATGCAGACACCCCTGGACCTATTCTAAGGGGGAGCTACATCCCTGGGTTCAACAGGACACAACATGCTTCTAGTCAGGAGAAAAGTGGTGTCTTCCTTGCCCTAGGTCACTGATGGAGTCAAAGCCAGCTCTATGGGATACCTGAGTCCTGGGAGCCCCTGGGGTGCCCAGGACAGAGACTTCACAATTAGTTTTCATGTAGTAAGCCAGCCAGGAAGCTCAGTTCTCATCACTGCAAAGCCCTGCAGCCACAGGAGGAAAAATTCCAGCACAGAAGTCCTTCCAACTCAGGGAAGCAGGGAGGAGAAGGAAGGCCCCACAGCAGCCTCTCCGTCACTACCAGACTACTGGAAGTCATGTCAGAGACTGCTCTGGAGAAAGAGAAAAAAGGCAGGGCTTCAGGGAGATCCCCGAGAGATGTTAGAAGAGATGCCACTGCTCCACACCATCAATCTCTCCCAGAGGGCAAACCCACTTTGCAAACAGACATGGGGGAAATGGCTCTAACTATTATCATGGAAACCAAGAGGCTGAACAGGGCATCAGTGGGATTGGGTATGTCTGATGACAGCAAGGAGCGGTGTGGCTAGAAGGAGCCCTAGACTCTCAGCCAATGCTGTGCACTGTTTTTTCATTCATAAGAGGAAAACTTGTCACACTTCCTTCTCTTACTGAAGCTACTATGAAGGTGATCTGAATACCATGGAGGAGTAAAAGAGTCCTCCCAGACCTTCCCATGCCCACTGCTGTGCTAAACACCAAGCAAGGCATGTACCACTCTTCCCTCAGAGACGAGGGATCTGAAACTTGGACCTGCAGTGACTTGCCAAGGGTCACCAGGTTCAATGGCATGAGCTCACCTGATATGTTGGCACTGGAACCCTCGTTGGGCCTCTTCCCCAGAGGATACTCCACATCAGCGAGAGTCTCAGTGGAGGGCGCCATGTTGTTCAGCACTGCAGACCTCTCAGACCTCTTCACTCTTCGGCTGAAGATCCTGCTGCTGAAGCGTCTGCTCTCCTTGGCTGGGGTGGCCTCTCCATTGGCAGCTTCTCCCTTGCCATTCTGGGGGAGTGCCTCTCGGGATTTGTGCCTCAGGTCTGTGTGCACCTGAGAGACAGTCCTGCCATCCTTTGGTCTCAGCAATCTTGAGGGGAGGGGCTCCACTGTGGGCAATACCTGTTCTACTGTAACCAGATCATTCAGAAAGCTCTCCAGACGCCGGGCAGACTCACCACCGCCATTGCACTCCTGTCCCTCTGCATTGCTATCAGCCTCCCGCTGCTGCCGGGCCGCCCAGCGCATCATCTCTCCTGGAGGAGGGCGGCTGCTTGCCACTAAGGCATACTTGGGATTGATAAGTTTTCGAGCTACAGTGGAGGAGTAGTTGAGGCCAAGCCTGCCTGCCAGACCCAGGTGCTGGTACAAGTTCACCTCCTCAGAGATGGCATAGAGCTCCCGGAACTCTACGTCAAAGGGTTCCACATTCTGCCCTGTCAGGAGCAAGAGAAGGTTCCTGTCCACATAGGAGGAGCTCCAGGTAAAGCTGGGGACAGAAAGCAGAGACATGGGTGGGCTCAGACCTCCTCAGTGTCCTGCCAGTAGCTCCTCCCTTCAACCCACTTCAACCTGTTCTGTCACTGTGGCCACACCGCCTGATGCCTGGTGAAAAGTGCCTCTTGCCCTCACAGTGTGCTCTCCTTTCACCGGGCCAGATTCTGCCCCCACTTCCTTCCCATGGGATTTGAGAATCAAACCTGGATCCACATCTATTCCTCCTGAGTGTCTAGCACAATGCGGCTTACAGGGCCTAAGGTAGAACATGCCATAGGGAGATGGCAGGTCCCTGACTCAAAGCTTGGAGGCTTAAATGAAATACCCAGCACAATACCTGGCACAAACACATGCAATACATAGGAACTAAGCTGTGCCATTGCTAGCAGTGTTCCATCCCTACTGATCCTTCCCAGAATGCACAGCATCTGCAAAAACCCACACTTTAACTGCAGAAGAGGACTCAGACCATTTATTGTTACATGTGCTCAAGTCTCACTTAGATTTTTACTTTTTCAGAGGAAAAGAGATGGTTCACATGCAGGTTCTCATGTACTTGGTACTTTGCTTTCAATTCAAATTCTGGAGTCATCTTTCTGTGCCACATCTGTGGCGGTTTGAATGAGAATGGCCCCCACAGGCTCATATATTTGAATGCTTGGTGTCCAGTTGCTAGATCTGTTTGTAAGGGTTAGCAGTATGGTCTTGTTCGGGATTGGGGGGGGTGTCACTGGGAGTGGGCTCTGAGGTTTCCAAAATCCATGTCATTCCCAGGTAGCTCTCTTTGCCTTGTGCTTGAGGATAAGACGTGCGCTCTCAGCTACTGCTCCAGCACCATGCCTGCCTGCTGCCATGCTCCTTACCACGATGGTCATGGACTCTAACCCTCCATACCCAAATGAAATGCTTTCTTTTATAAGTTACCTTGGTCATGGCGTTTTGCCACAGGAATACAACAGTAACTCAGACAACACCTCACATTGCTTCCCCGGATCTTGTACCTTTTATTTCCTGCTTATCCCACCCCCAAACCAGCCTCAAGATACAACTTCTGCTGAGGACCATGTCAAGCAGGCAATGCTTACTGCCTAGGAAGAGTTGGTCTTCTTTCTGGAATAATCAATCTGTCAACAGAAAGGACCTGGACAGGAGGCTGTTTTTGACCAGGACACACAATGCCTCTTAAAACCATAACTGTAGGGGCTAGAGAGATGGCTCAGTGGTTAAAGTGGTTAAAGAGTACTGAGTTCAATTCCCAGCAACCACATGGTAGTGCACAACTATCTAAAATGGGATCTGATGCCCTCTTTTAGCCTGCAGGGATACATGCAGACAGAGCACTCATACTTTTAAAAAAGTACATAAAAAAGAAAAATCCCCAACAACCATGACTGCAGAAGATCTAGGATAGCACATTCCACAATTACCATGGATACAGATTTCCTGGGCCTTCCCCTGTCCTGGTCCAACACACCTGTAAGATCCAGTGGCCACTTTGTCCCCATCCACCATCAGGAACCTCGATGAGAGAGTCCCCTTGATCTTCCCCATGGGCATGTAGAAGCCAACTCCTGTCACAGAGCGGACACGGATGTTCTGAGGAGAAGAGAGAGATACCATTGCCCTCTCTGGGGAGGCCTCGAGGCTCTGCACCAAGGTCTTGCTTTGGGAGAGGTCCACAGACCCTGACAGTGGCCCAAGTGTTTCCAAAATTCTCTGCTTCCTTCAGCCTTAAATGTTTTACTTTCAGCAAGCTCAAAGTTCCCGATCAGAGAACTACAGCCCTCTGCTGAGTCTGACAGTGAAGAACCACAGACTTAACAGCTAAGACTGGGTGAGAGCTGCCTCCTTCAGCCTTGGCAGCTCTAGGACAACAAAAAAGTATTAAGGATATATAAGCAAGCAGTTACAAGTTCCTGAGTCATGGCTTTACCTAAAAGGAAATATATTATTAGGATCCTGAACTTCAATCTGAGTCCCCGAGCTTGGGAGGAGGAATGGGGAAGAGGCAGAGGAATGGCAGAAGGAGTCTCAGGACCACAACCTGTCCCAGTAGTGCAACTCACCCGAATGCGGAAATCAGCAAGCTCCAAACCCTGACACATCTCCAGAAAGTACTTCACACCTGTCTCATCCAAGATAATGTATACGGGGACCCGTCGCTTAGAGGCAGCATCTACAATGTCTTGGAATATATCCCCATCAGTAAAAAGGTCCATGACGACAGCAATGACCTGGACAGAGAAGGTACTGCTGAGACATCTTGTAACTGATACATGTTCTGGGACACACCTGCCCAGAGAGGATCACCTTGCTTTGGGGCAACTGATGGCCAAAAGTAAAAAACCCTACCTGCCACCACTCCTGGGTTCTTCAAGTACCCACATTTTAGAGCACACTGAATTCAAGTGAGGGGCCCAATGGTACAGACTCTGTTGCTGGTACTTCATCCTGGATAAATTCCAGCCTGTTCTGGAAATTTCCAGAACTCTGCAGAAGTCATGTCAGGAGAGGGATGGGAGCCTGGAGAGAGCTGCCCCTGCTGCCCCATGGAAAGAGCAGATGTGAGGTGTTATGGCAAAGGTGTAAGGGAAGGGCTCATTTCCATCAGCCACAGATTGGCATGAACATCACTTTCTCAGCAGATCTGGGCACTCTATCTCCCTGTAGCTATGCAAAGTCCTGCACAGCCCTGGTACTGATGCTGACAGAGCTAGAGCTGGCCAGGTATCCCTGACCTCTGATGCTCAGGCTTCCCCCACCCCCATCATCGAATAAGAAACAGTGCTCAATAGCCCTCACATACAAAAACAAGCCCTGATTGTGTTTCCTTAGAAGCAGGGACCTTTTTCACCCCAGGGTTGTTTTTTTAAAGTTTTATTTACTTTATGAATATGAGTGCTCTACCTGCACATACAACTTTATGCCAAAAGAGGCCACCAGATCCTACTATAGATGGTTGTGAGCCACCACGTGGTTGCTGGGAATTGAACTCAGAACCTCTGGAAGAGCAGCCAGTGCTCTTAACTGCTGAGCCGTCTCTCCAGTTCCCCAGCTTTCCTTTTCTTAAACATCTATTCTTTTCTTACATATTACATTCAGACTGCAATTTCCCTTCCCTCCACTCCTCCCAGTTCCTCCTTCACCTTCCCTCTCCCCCAGACTTACGCCTCCTCTGTTTCCCTTAAAAAAAAAAAAAGAGCAAGTCTCCCCAGGATATCCATCAAACAGCATGGCCTAACCAGATACAAGACTGGAGCTGGGCATTGGTGGTGCACACTTTTAATCCCAGCACTTGGGAGGCAGAGGCAGGTGGATCTCTGTGAATTCGAGGCCAGCCTGGTCTTCAGAGGGAATTCCAGGACAGGCTCTAAAGCAATAAGGGCTCACAGAAACCAGTGACAAACATGGACCCTGTATGCATCTGAGCTAGGTCCTCTGCATATACCTTATGATTATATAGCTTGGTGTCCCTGTGGGACTCCCAACAATGCGGGGGGCTCATCTCTGACTCTTTTACCTGTACTTGGGGCCCTTTTCCTCCTATTGGGTTGCCTTGTCCAACCTTGATATGAGGATTTATGCCCAGTCTTGCATCTTCTTTTGTTTGTTTGTTTTGTTTTTGTTTTTCGAGACAGGGTTTCTCTGTATTGCTTTAGAGCCTGTCCTGGAATTCCCTCATCATCTTCACACTACACTATACTTTACCATAATTAAAGCCTCTGAGGTCTCTCTATTCCCTCACTTCCTACAGTGTTCCTGCTTTCTCTAACTCTTTCTTCCTTTTTTTTCTTTCTTTTTGTTTTTTGTTTTTTCAGACAAGGTTTCTCTGTGTAGCTTTGGAGACTGTCCTGGAACTAGCTCTTATAGACCAGAGATTCGCCTGCTTCTGCCTACTGAGTGCTGGGATTAAAGGCGTGTGTCACCACTTCCCAGCTTTGTTTGTTTTTGAAGACAAGGTTTCTCTGTGTAGCCTTGGCTGTCCTGGAACTCACTCTGCAGACCAGGCTGGCCTCAGACTCACAGAGATCCACCTACATCTGCCTCCTCAGCCTCCTAAGTACTGGAATTAAAGGTGTACACTGGATTAAAGTGTGTACCACCATCACCCAGCTTTCTATCTCTTCCATTCGAGAATCATTAACACCCACATAATGATCACTGGGCCCCCATAGGCACAGTGATGATCTAAAGACAGATAAGTTACCACTGCCACAAAGATAAGCCACTTACACAAAATAACTAAGGCATAAGGTGAAAGAGATAAACGTCTTAAGAGTTACACAAGTGACATGTGATGTGCAGTGAGAGACAGGCGAGCGCTGCTTGTAACCAGGGAAGGAGAAGAATAAAATAAGCTTTACAGCGAACAGGGTGTCCTTGGGTGATGTCAGGAAGGAATAGGGAAAAGAAAGGATCAGGGTGAGAACTGAGCAGGGAACTTACCTGGGCTGCTATGTGTGAGTGTGCCCTGGCCAGGAGCACCAGGCTGAAACAGGGTGACTGTGCCTTCCTTGCTTTGAGAGACCTACAAAGTGAACATTTCTGATAGAAGGCACCGCTCCAGCAAAGACTCTGAGGCACTATAGTTCTTAATTTCACATTAACTTGGCTGGGCCACAGAGTCTCGATAGTTAGTGAAATACCATTCTGGATGTTTCTGTGAAGGTATAACTTGGGCTTCACATAAAGAAGACTCCCTTATATTGTGTGTATGTGTGTGGAGGCTTCTCCAGTCAAGGCCTTCATTGACAAAGACAAGAAGAAATTCTACAAGCCATATGCCTTTGAACTTGGACTACAACTCTCCCCTAGGTCTCTAGTCTGCTGGTTTACCCTGAGGTTTTAGACTTTCATCTCTCTAGTCAAGTGTGGTGGTGCACACCTGTAATCCTAGCATTAAGAAGGCAGAGGCAAGAGAAGCAGGAGTTCATGGACATCTTTGTTTGTACAGAAAGCTCATGACATAACCTGTCATCATCATCAACATCATCATTCAACAAAACTACCAAAAGCCAAGAAGATCAAGTTTTTCTTCCTTTTCTCCCATCACTGTACACACACACACACACACACACACACACACACACACACACACACACTGTTGACTCTGTTTCTCCAGGGTACCCTGACTAGTTGTAGGCTGAGGATGGGAGTGAACATTCACTAAAGAATCCCCAAGAACTCATGTACTTTGGGTAACTTTTCTAATCTGATTTTTCACATTTGCTCTACTGGGAAGGACTGTTATTCCCATTTCACAACTGAGGAAGTAAATACACAGGGGCCAAGCAATGTGTCCAAGATCACATAGCTAGTACACGGCGAAACAAGAAATAGGTACACTTGACCTAAGAACACATTTCACTGCTACATGATATTTTAGAAACATCAAATCGAAAAGCCCATTCTTGGAAAGGACTAAAATCAGACAAATATCTAGAGAGACTGACAGAAAGAGGAGATACAAACAAAATGTAGGATGAAAAGGAGAGATAATTTCAGGTGCAGTATACATTTAAGAAATAGTAAAATATGAACTAGGTATAGTAGTGGAACTTACTATAGTAAGTGTGATTCAAGTGTGTGCTATGAGATAGCAGAATCGTACATACCTGGCCAAGTACCCAGGGAACTGCCTGGATCTTGGCACAGGTCTACAAGAGAAGAGGGAAAGAAATACTCAGCAGCTTTCCTTGGGAAAACAAAGACTTGGCAACAATTTCATTATCTTTCTCTAGAAGACAAGGTAAGGAAACGGTAGAGGAGAGGATGCGCCGTAGCTGATGTAAGCAATGAATGAGTCCCATGATCAGTTCTTAGATCTTTCCTAAGACTTATTTTATTTGTATATATGTGGATTGAAACCTGCAAGTGCTGAGAGGCCAGAGAGGGCACAGGATCTCCTCAGGTAGTTGTGAGTTGCCTGTTGTAGGTGCTGAGAACAAGACCCAGGGCCTCTGCAAGAGCAGCAAGTGCTCTTAACTGCTGAGTCATCCTTTCAGATATTCTTCTTAAAAGTGTGGTGGCTTGATTTTGTAATCCCAGCATTATGGTGTACAGAAGGAGGATTAGAAGTTCAAGGTCATTTTTGGCTACAAAGCAAGTCCCAGGCCAGCCTAGCCTACCAGAGGCCCTGTCTCAATATGCGTGTGTGTGTGTGTGTGTGTGTGTGTGTGTGTGTGTGTGTGTGATGATGTTGTAGTGAACTCTATAGTCAAATACTATTTATGACACTGTATATTTTCCTAGGATACAAACATGTCCAAGGACTTACACTGAGCACAGGAGAAAGGAATGGGAAAATGAGAAAGAGAAAATGAGAGAGGTCCTTGGGTGGCCTGATGATAGCAGTGGACTGTGAACTATGACTACATTAGCTCTTTTGTACTTGAGGCCAACCAATCAAACAAAACATGCTCAAGTCCTCCAGTGGGGCTGTCACAGTTCACTGTAGGTATGGGAAGGGTACAGTGGCTTTGGGGGAGGAGGTACATGGTGTCATGGTCCTACAGAGAGTACTCTTCATTCCAGGGAGATACAAGCTTGATGACCCGAGCTTGATCCCCAGAACCCATGTAGAGATTGACACGTAAACACTGGACCTCCACATCCATGCCATAACTAACCACCTTCTCATCCCATACTGCCTGAGGCCACAGTCCACTGCCCCCTCTCATTTCTAAACTCTACCCAGTGTCCAGCTCAGACTCATCGAACACCATCTAGGACAGTCTGGCCAGTTCCCAGCTGACTTCTTGGATCCCCACTTTTACTTTTTCTGTAGCTGGAAAAGCAAGCAGGGAAGTTAAGACTTACCCTGGCCCCTACCTAAGAATGAAAGAGATGGAAAGTTCCCAGGACAAGCTTGCAGGAGGCTGGGTCTTAGACACCCTGGTGAGAGTCAGCCATGTGTGTCACTACCAGTTAAACAATGGAATATTTGTTGTAGGGAGAAAAAAAATCAATCATGCACTGGCTCTTGCAATCTAGTTGTAGAGAGGTGATAAGTACCCTGTGCTTTGGTCTCGGAGGACTCCTGCTTGACACTCATCCTCAGCATCAGGCCCAGGAAAACCAGCTCCATACCCTTTGCTGAAGCACTGAGTGTGCCCACTAGTCTCCATGCTAAGTCTAACTTCAAGGCTTCTGGTGAAGATGGAGGTTTGAGGCTTACAAACAAATAAATTAAAAAGATAAAAAAAAGAAGGAAAAATAAAGTAAGACTTTACAG